CAGGCAGCACAGCTACTAAGGGAACCTGGCAAGCACCTGGCCTCTCTCATGCTGGAGCCACAGTGTTTGAAACCCTACAGTGAGCCATTTCTTTCTTCCTCTGGTCTCTTAAAATTCAACCATGCCTAGTAGTGCTTGCTATTAATCCAAAGAGCTGATGACTCTGGATCTTCTTCTCATGAAAGTGGATGACGATCAAGATGAGACTCCTGCAGAGTGCTAAAAGAAAAGTAACTGAGGATGGGAAAAAAGGAGACCAAATTATCTCCAGATGCCTCATGGCTACTCTAGGTAGTCAGGTGTGTACAGTGAAAATAATGGTGATGCTGGTGGTGGTGATGGTGATGGTGGTGGTGGTGACGGTGATGGCAATGGTGGTGGTGGTGGTGGTGGTGGTGGTGGTGACAGTGATGGTGGTGGTGGTGGTGGTGGTGGTGACAGTGATGGTGGTGGTGATGGTGACAGTGATGGTGGTGGTGGTGGTGGTAGTGGTGGTGACAGTGATGGCGATGGTGGTGGTGGTGGTGGTGGTGGTGGTGATGGTGGAGATAGTATTTGTGTTGTTGGTGGTGGTGGTGATGATGATGTTGGTATGGTTGGTGGTGGTTGGCGGTGGTGGTGACAGTGATGATAGAAAATCATTTTAAATATACTTTTCATATGCCTTCGTAGCATCCCACATCCAAATTCATTATAAATACAGACATTAAAACTCGGTAGTTTTTACATCAAGTCCCATGCTGAATTAGCATAGTAGCTACTCTGAGAAAGTACTCTCCATCCTGAAAATCCTGTCTTCTTGTTTTCTTTATCACTCTCTTCTTTCCCTCTTTTTTAATTTTAACTTATATTCATACATGTTTATAGTACAAAATCATCTTTCCTTATAAAATAAAGATAAATTCAGTTTTGCAAATTAAAGAGATGTGCACACACATTACATGTCATATAACATACACGTATATATAAACTTAACCATTTCTAGATTAAATCAGAAATAGTTATGTAATTATCAGATCTTTATTTAACAAGACCAGATTGTCTTCTCGTATCAGCTATTAAAGGTAAATGTAACAAGACTCCCCTCTGGTGGTTAGAATCAAGAATAAAGCTTTGGAAGAAATATATTGCTTGCATTCATGATTAACCAAGAACTCAGTAATCAAGCCATCTTCATGATTGAGGTATACCAAAAACATCTCAATGTGGCCAGCTTTCCTAGACTGCCTGAAAGTTTGAGTTGACAGAAGTTGATCTTATGAAGATCAGAAATTGTAACTGCCACGCCAACACCTGTAACTAAAAGAAATTAATTTTGAGTCCTGTATCAGTCCACAGTCAGCTGGCACCAAAGTAGGATGGCATGGCAGGGGACATGGTGGAGGAGTGCTGCTCATGACATGGCAGACAGGAAGCAGGCAAATGCAAGCTGAGAAGGGAGATAAATCCTTCCAGGACCCACCCACAGCAATGAGAAAAGTAGCTAAAACAGATTTGGTAATAGGAGTGGGGTTTTTGCTGTGACACTACTTGACTATATGGTTCAGAAGACTTTGGAAAGGTTTGGAGATGCTGACCAGAGAAGCAGTCTTAGAACGTTGTGAGCCAAGTTTGACAGGGATTCTTGTTGGAGCTCAGAACACCAGAGTATTGATTTTAAAAGCGGATGGAAAAGACTATGTTCAGGAAGTGTCAGCTGGGAACAAGGACTCCACTGGCAGTTGGACTTGAAACCATGTTTGTTATGCTCCAGTGGAAAACTTGTCTATATTTTGCATATATCCTGAGACCTTGCGAGAGACTGACATAGTGGCAGACTAATTAAACTGGCAGGGGAAATTTCTCTGCATTCAGCACTCAGGCTGTAGCATGGATATTGCTGGGGGCTTTTAGTCAGCTCTACAGTGAGAGTCAAAAGCAAATGCCAGAGCTGAGTGATTTTTTAAACTTTTGAGTTTTACCAGAAAGGAAATACCTGCATTTGGATCAGCTTGTTTGCTGAAAATATTTGCATTAAAAAGAAGCCAAGTAACTTCCAACAGAACAATAGGAAATGTGCCTTGAGGACATGTGGTAATCAGCAAGCCCTCATCCTTCAAAGGCTGAAAAGTGCAGAAGTGAAAGGCTTTGCTTTTAGAAGACGACTCCAGGGCACTATACTCCAGAACCTCCTGCCTAATGAGTTTATTCCCCAGGATTTGGTACACAGTTTTCAACCATCCATGTACTTGGGGGCCACTGTGGCTATGATACAAGATGGCCTGGCTCCTGCACAAACTGGCAGCAGACCTTTTCATCACCCACATGGTGGTGGTTTTACAGGCAGGCAGAATGCCATAGTTGTGGGGTCAGGGAAGGTTCCATTCGGATTCCAGAAGAAGGTCTAGGAGGCCAGGCAGTGTGCTTTGAAAAGGATGTGAGCAAAGCTATGAGGGTGAAGACAGCAAGTTAGAGAATACAGGAACATGGAAAACCTGAGAAAAAACACAAAAAATAAATAAAATTCAACCAAGATAGAACTCATGAGGAATACAACCAGCAATGATGGAGAGGAGGTCACCCCAGCCCTTTGGTGTTCACATCTCACTACCACTTGCCCTAAGTGCTAGATATGGAGCTATAGGATTTAGGCTTGCCCTGATCATTTTCAGTCTTGCTTTGGTCCCATAGGTTTCTAGCCTCTTTTTCTACCTTTTGGAATGGGAATGTTTATCCATGTCATTGTATGTTGGCCATGTTTAACTGCTTTTCAATTGTATGGGGGGTTAAAGGGGCTAAGAGTTTGCTTTGAGTCTCAAAAGGGACTTTGAACTCAGAGCTTTCAGCAATGCTGAAACTGTTAGAATGTTGGCAACTCTTAGAGATGGACTAAATGCATTTTGCATGAAGAGATGTGCCTGTGCCTTTTGGGGGACTGTGGTGGAATGTTATGGTTTATATCTAGATGTCCCCCAAGGCCTCATGTACTTATAGGTGGAGCTTTTTAAACATGATTAGATTATGAGAGCATTGAGCTGACTTGCCGTTCGGAGCTGGAGCCTGGTCAAAAGAGATGGTTTGCTTGGGAGTGTGAGCAGGAGGGGTTAATCTCCCTTCGTGACTCTCTCTGTTTCCTGTTCGCCATGCCATGAGCAGCTCTCCTCCACTATGCCCCTCTGCTTTAGACCCAACCAATGAGAGACACTGATCTGATGAAGACCAAAATCAATGTGCAGAAAAGACCGTAGGAGAGCGAATGCACACATTACATTATGGACAACAGCACAGTGCCTTGTTTGATGTTCTCATTGATCATAAGAAATCTGACAAATGTTCGGCTTTTTATTTGTACAATTTTGAAGGACTGACCTCTGAATTTTACATGACACGGTGTATTTCTAATATTTTAAAAAGTGCTCTGGAAAGAGAGAAAAAGGGAGAGAAATGACAAATTCCAACAGCGCCACCTTCTGGTCATAAGTGATGTAGCAAGCCTGACCTAAAGCTCTGTTCTCGGTGTGGCGGTCAGTTCATGTCACATCCCACACTACAAGGAACCCTGCAGACCAGCTGTAACCATGATCATAACCATGGATGCATTCCGCATGGAATCCTGGGAAGCTTTTTACATGTGACTTGCCCATGTGCTCCTCCATGAGACTGTAACGTGTGAGGCCAGGAACAATCCCTTAAGGACACTCACAACTTCAACACCCAATGCTTGACAGTCCCTGAAAACACAAATGACTGGACCAAAAGAGTTGCTTGTGCCTTTGTTTCTCCGTGTATTAAACTCAATTAAAATCGTGTTTGCAATCAAGTCAATGTCAGTCTCACAATAACGTTTGTATTAGATCGCTCTTCAGTGACACAGACAATAGGATTGGGAGCATCATCTCCCTTGAGCTGGCATCAGTGAAGACCAAGCCAGCCAGCTGAAAGTAGGAAAGTGAGTCTGAGTAGCTATCGCTTTGCATGAAGTTAAACTGAAGATGACATCAAGAATATGAATGAGCCAGACATGGTGGCACACAGCTAGAATCCCAGCACTCAGAAAATCACCTTGAGTTCAAAGCCAGCCTGAACTACATAGTGAGTTCAAGACCAGCCTAAGTGTCATAGTGAGACCCTGTCTTAAAAAAACAAAGACCAAAAAAATAATAGTAATGAAAGGTTTTCCAAACATTGAGTAAAGTTCCAAAGATCCCAAAAAATAGAATACTTATTTAGGTCAAAAAAGAATTAAGCAGATAATAATACACAGGAAATTTTGCATATATCCAGGTAACTGTCCACAAAAACCTGCATGCCAAAGGGAATACAAGGTGATTGTCAGCACAAAAGTGACAGCCAAAATCAAATTTGGTCTGCTGGGGTGTATGCTCAGGGAAGCCATAGACAAAAACTAGGAAATCCTTTCTCAACTGCAGATAATACAGAGTTATAGCCATTATATAATCCCCAAAATTATAGGAAATAGGCATGAATTGTAACACAAAAGAGCATTGGTTTGTTTAAAAAGAAAAGCTCTGCTTATATTTAAGTGTCACAGTAGGCTTTCGAGGGAATCTATTTATTCCCTGAGGCTTTATAAAAAGGCCAGTGCAGTGGACAGACCCTTCCTGGCATCCCTTCCAGGTCTATGCGCCATGATTAACCCTTTAAGCAAAAGGACACTAATTCTATGTAAGACATTCTCTCTAGGAAAATGTTCTACTTAATTAGTCCTGTTCTAGCTTAATTAACATTGGTTAAGAGCCCTCCATCCTGGCTAGGTGATCCCAAATGAGCTACTTAACCTCCTCCACTATTTCTTATCATGTAGGATGAATTTTTAAGAAGATTTCATGATAATCGAGGAAACATTTGTGAGCTGCATATCGAAGTGCCCAGCCTGCAGCAAGTATTAAAACATAAAAGGGTAAGTGAAAATCAAATCAAATTAAAATAGGACTGAGAAGAATGCTGACCAACAGTTATCACCCAAATTTAATGAAAAGATGTGAGCTACAAAGGAAATGTTAAAGCAGAACAGTTTATTTCCCATGGCAAGTGGCAGTATTTGAGGGAAAACATCCTTCATGTACAACTTTGGGAAGTCACTGAAATGTACTTTCTCCTTCTCCTCCACAAAAGTAAGTCGAAATAGGTCAGATGACCACGTTTCCTCCAATTTTAAAGAGTCGAGAATTTTAGAGAACACCTAATTCAATAAATACAAAAACTTTGCAATATGCACTATGTAAAACTCTAGTTATAAATTAGAAAACAACCAGGTACGGATTCATTACAACTTATATAAATTCCCCATAAGTCTACAGCATAAACAGCATAAATGTAAATGTCCTTTAATGATTTAAAGACTAATTAATGAGTTACTGCTTAGATTCAGAAGTAAAACAAAACAAAGATATTTTACTTTCCACACAATTCCCTCTTTGTAATTGCTCCTATAGATTTTCTTTGAGCTACCTATAAGAATCTTATACACTCACTGGGTGTGGTGGCACACCTGTAATCTCAGCACTCAGGAGGTTGAGGCAGGAGGATCACCATGAGTTCAAGACCAGCCTGGACTACATAGCTAGACTCTGTCTCAAGGAAAAAAATTATAGTCCCATATACTGATTCTAAAGACTCTCACACTCCAATTTGATGAATTCAAGTTAGTTCAAAAACTTACCAACTTTTTATTTGCACACAGTCAAACAGTAAATATTTTAGGCTCACTGGTGCCTGCTCTCAAGTAGCTCAAAATCAGCCAACACGCCAATGAACAGCTGTGGTCACTGTGGTCCAGTACACAGTCTATGCACAGTGCAATCTGTATCTCATACTGCTTTCTAGTGTCATGAACATTGATCATCTTTCTAATTTTTTAATTTGCCACTTAAAATGTAAAAGCCATTTTTAGCTTGCAGATTGTACAAAGAGAGACAGAGCTCAGGATTTAGTCCTAGACCATCATTTGCCGACTTGGGGCAAGACAGTGGTAAGGTAGCAAATGTAAGTCGGGTGCTCCTTTCCTGGGATCATCAGGGGCATTCTGGTGCTCCTTTTGCCAACTGGCTTCATCTGCCCTTCTTCTGCTACAAGCCACCCACCTTGACTCCGGCCCTGGAGCTCAGCATAGTTAAGGGAAGCCTGACACCTTGTGGTTGCATTGCAAACGCCAGGAGTCCCTTGGAAGTCACCAGCAAGGCAGAGCCACTGGGCAAGGGTGACTCCAGGAGGGAGAGAAGAGCCAGGAGATTCAGGAGGCAGTGAACCAGCCCGCAGCAGTTTGCCGTCATCTCTGTTGTGGTTGTTGATGAAATGAAGCAAGATAAAGCCCAGAGTTTACTATCTTCTTTCTCCAAAGGGAATTTCCACAATGGCTGTCTTTGGGTGGCATTTCTAACCAAAAAAAGGCAATTCCAGACCCTTCCCCACTGTCTGACGACAGTCCAGGTCTTCCTGTCTGCCCAAGTCTATCACTTGTGTCCATTAGTACATACACTTAGGAGGGAAGATGCGGACACAGCAGATGCCACCATGCCAGCTGCTCACAGAAGACAAAGAAGGGGAAAGTAAAGGCCGTGACCGCCACTGAATATCAGTTTTATTCTGGGAAACGGCAAACACAAGACGCCTTCAAGACAACAAAGACACATGCTTGAAATGTCACAATAGCCCTGAAGAAATGGGGCCACTTTTCTGCTCTGGTTGGTCAGGTTTGGACTTATTTGGGGTAGAGAAAGAGGAGGCTCTTCTTTCTATTCCTCTGCCCCTGAAAAAATAAAATAAAATAAAATAAAACTCCTGGACTAGAGTCATTCCTGTACCATACATTATGTAGGGCAGAAAGTTCCATGGTTTATCAGATTGAGAGTCACATTCTATTGTCAATTCACAGCCATCCTTTTCGGGTTGACCAGAAGGCAGTGGGGTGGTGACACTGGGGAGGGAGCTCAACAGGGCTTGCTGCTGGGTTCTGCAGTCACAGAAGCACTTCTGCTGTTGCAAGAGCCTCGCTCTGAAGGTAGCAAGTCTTCAGTGTCTTGCGTGGAATGCTGAAGCTCCACAGCTACCCAAAGGGGGCCCTGATAAAAAGTATGCACGGCCTCAACGTCCACCCCCCAGCATAAGCAAGGAGCTGGACGGCTGGGTAGTACAGCCAGTGAAGGCTGTCAAGACCTCGGTCCTGGATGTCCCAAGAAATCTCAGAGGAGTGCGGAGGGGACTAGGTCTAGAACCCTTACCTGGAGAACAGGATTCTGAACGCAACCTAGGCCTAAGCCACTGAGGCTGCCTTGGGAAGCAAACGCTGAGCCTTGCAGTCCTGAGACCATGCCCCCTTCTCTGCCTATGTCCCCACCACCATCCGCTTCTCGGAGAGCAGTGGTGGGGTGAAGCACCAACCCCATACACACCTGTCCCTTCAGCGGTGTGCAATGCAGTCAAGGGGACCTGTCACCCTTCCCACAGTGCTCAGGGCTGTACTACTCTCCTCCCAACCCCCTCACCCCCATAACTGGCAGCCTTGCATGACATGATGGCTTTGTCTTCAGGACTAGAGACCTGCTGTCCTGCTGGGGCGCTGCTAACTCTCTAGGCTGATCTCTCCTCACTGCTGGTACTTGCGGTACCGCTTCTGCCCGACCAACCATGGAACACAGGGTCCTTGGTTCTTAACTAGGTGGGGGCTTTTTAGGCTGTGCAGCGATTTTTAATGACTGCATGATTTTCATCTGACCTTTCCCGACTCTCACTTGTGTGTATTTTACAAAACAAAACTGTGGACCTTCTCCAGAGACCTCTTTCTCATGACAGATCTGGACCTCCGGGGTAACTCCACAGAGATCAGCATGCGCACCGCCCCCCACATACACACACACACACCCCAGGGGCCTCTTGAGCAGTGTAGGAGTTAGCGTGGATCCTCCCCTAAAGGGGAAGGAGAAAAAAGTTGGAGTTGATACTTAATGGGGGGGGTGGCCACGGGTCCCGCCGCGTGCTGATTGGTTTTACATTTCCTCCCTTTTTTTTTGTTCTCTCCCGCTCTCCCTCTTTTCAGTTTCTCTCTTTGCCCCCGGGGAGAGGAAACAGGAATAGTGAGAGATCAAAAATAAACCTCTTATGTCAAAGCCGGGCAGGAAGTATAAATACGAAGGGCTCGGCAGCCCACTCTGCGCTGCCCGGGCCGGGGAGGAGGCAGGAGGCGCTGCGCGGGGCCGGCACGCGGCCCGGGGCGAGGACGGGCGCACGCGGCGCGGGGCGCCAGCTGCTCGCGCTGCGCTCGGGAGGCGCCGAGGGGCCGCCGGGGACGCCGCCTGCGCCGCGGGCCGGGGCGGCCTTGCGTCGGCGCGCGCGCGTTCCTGGAGAGAGCGGCCGCGGCGACCAGCACCTGCCCGGGCCCCTTCGCCGCCGCGCGCCGCCCCGCAGCCCCCATGCTCCGCGCCGCCGGCGCCGCCCGGTGGCCGCCGCTCCTGCAGCTGCTGCTGCTGCTGCCGCTGCTGCCGCCGCTCGCCCCGCTCTCCCGCGGCGCCCCGACCGCGCCGGGCCCCGGGGGCGCGGCCTCGGCGCTGGTGGTGCCCACGCGGCTGGCGGGCCGCGCGGACGAGCTCGCGATCCACCTGTCCGCCTTCGGCCAGGGCTTCGAGCTGCGCCTGGCGCCCGACACCAGCTTCCTGGCGCCCGGGTTCAAGGTCGAGCGCCTCGGGGGCGCGGGCGGGCCGGCCGGGGGCGAGCGCGGGCTGCGCGACTGCTTCTTCTCGGGCACGGTGAACCGCGAGCCCGAGTCGCTGGCGGCCGTGAGCCTGTGCCGGGGGCTGAGCGGCTCCTTCCTGGCGGCCGGCGAGGAGTTCACCATCCAGCCGCAGGGCGCGGGCGCCTCCCTGGACCAGCCGCACCTCCTGCGGCGCTGGGGCCCCGCGGCCGGCGAGCCGGAGGGCGACGACGGCGAGGACAGCGAGGAGGCGGGCGGCACCCGCGAGCCGCCACCGCCCTCGGGGCCCGCGCGCAGGACCAAGCGGTCCGTGTCTGAGGCTCGCTTCGTGGAGACGCTGGTGGTGGCCGACGCGTCCATGGCTGCGCTCTACAGCGCCGACCTGCAGGTAGGACCCGTGGCTCCAGACTCTGCCCTTCCCGGTCCTGGGCGCGGGAGTCCTTCGCCCTTCCCAGCAAGCCCCAAACGCGAGGGGTTCTCTCCCTTCTGAGGAGCAGCAGTCAGCTCCTTCCCATGTGCCATCCTGGCTCCCTGGCTTCCATCCCCCATCCCCAATCCTCCTCTCACCCTCCGTGTCCTGACTTTCCTGGGCACTACTGTAAGTGGGTTTGAACACACCCTCTCGCAGCCACCTGCCTCTCCTGACGGGCTGGGAATTGCACCTTTCTGGCGAGCACCTCCTTCCCACCCTGCTTCCTGCAGTCGCTGCTGTCGGGGATCTTAGAGGCTCCCAAGGAAGCGCAGCTGGATGAAAAGCTATTTGGTTTCCTTCGGGTCCAGAAATGAGGTTGTTATAAGTAAAAGATACTGTCAGGGGAGAGTTGAACCTGGAAAGGGGCTGCCCAATTTCTGTGCGTCCAGCTGGTTCTGATCAAGGGGCATGGACTACCTTGCCAACCTGGGGCTCAGCCCTGGCAGCACTTGGCAGTGCCAGCATCCAGCTCAAGGAGGGAGGGGAACAGAATTTCTGCCTGGGGACTCAGTCCTGGCAACTGAAGTTTCAGTGAAAAGGAAGGAAGCAAGGAGCAGAATGAACTTGCAGTTAAGGTCTCTGGAGGAGCGGGAGCTGGGTCCCCCCCTAGCTGCCTTAGCGATGAGCTGGTACAGAGAAACGGTCCAGGGGATGATTATTGTAGCCAGGCCATTGCTAACCAGATTCAAGGAGGGTGCTGATTCAGTACCCTTAACCCCAGTACCTCCCTGCAAACACCAGACAGCTGTGTTTCCAGGAGGAGAGGATAAGGATTCAGGAGAGGACAGTGTTCTCTGTTCCCTTAGGGGACACAGAACCAGAGCTATGCCAGCTAGAGAAGAACTAACCTGGCCAGAGTTCATAGTTCTCTGCAGCGGGTTTTGGCATTCCAGCAGCTCACTTAACGCTTTTACAGTGATGGCATCCCTGGCCAGGAACCCCAGTCTAGACTCAGTCTGTACCCAACTGCTGAGGGCACCAAACGCAGAACACTAGATGAGGAGGTGGTTAGCTTTCTGTTTCTCGAAGGATCTTTCTCCCCACCAGCACCCCCTGCTCTCACTGGGAAGTGCAGAGGGAACCAGATCTGGCAAGACTGACAGGGCTGGCAGCGCTGCTGGTCTGGCGAGAGGTCCGTGCGGCTGCTCTTCTGGCTACTGCGAAAGCCAGTTAAACCCAGGGACACTCCCCTGTGTGCTTTTGTGGTGCTGATTTCTTCCCAGAGCATGTCATGGAGACCTCAGAGCTGTCTGCCCTGTGAGCTTTGGGTCAGTACTGATTTATTTGATCCTCTGTCCACCTTGCGAGCAGGGAGAGGTATCTCTGCCTTCTGATTCTTTCTCCCAAGCAAGATGGTGGCAGACAGGGAAGAGTGAGGCGAGGGCTTCGCCCATCTCACTGCGACCACTACACCTGCTGCAGGGGGCTCCCCCTGAAAGAAGCTCAGATACTTGCATTGCAGACCCACAGCTGAGAAGCAGACCAGTTTTTGGAATCTGCCTGAGAACCAAAACATAGGAAAGCCACCTGGCAAAGTAACAGGAACAAAAGTCGGTTCTTCAGTCTCCTGAGCCAAAATGCTCCCCTGGCCCCACCGTGGTACTTACAGTTTCACTCTCAGCTCATCACCTAGACCCCGGAGATGCTGAGTACTCCCTCAAGGACATACTTGGCATCTCCTGATATCACAGCTGTCTGGAGCCAGCCCTGCTTGGATTGTAGGAGGCTCAGCTGGGTTCTGCACCAGATTTTGTTTACTTCCACTTGAAGTCTGGACTTCCAGAGAAGTGGGCTTGCTGTGTCAAAGCCACATGGGCACTGTGATGCTCACAGGTCCCCCAGCTGCAGGACAGTACGTGTTTCCCCCATCCACCCTCCCTGTACACACTGAGGTTTCTGGACTATTGACAGTCACACACAAAGGACTTCCTCACCAAGCCAGCCACCCTGGATCAGGAGAGGGCAGCAGGACAGGTGTGAGGCACCTGTGAAGGCTGCTTTCCTCCCCCTGGGAAGCCTACTTCTCAGTCTTCTACAGAAAGAAATGTTCACTCAGCTGGACCGGGCTGCCCCTCCACCTTGGTCTCCTTGTGTCTCAGTCCACCTGCACTCCTGCTCCCCACCTGCTGGGATGAGCTGGGCCTGAGGAGCAGCCGTGTCCATGGCTGCCCATCAGCCCCTCTGACCAGCCACTGAGATTCTCACCTTACTCCCTTGGGTGTCTTACAAGGGGTCCAGGAGCACAGTAGAGAGGAGAGTGAAAATTAAGTACTAGCACCCCAAAACCTGGCCTGCTTCAACCCCAGATGGAGCGATCTCTTTATACCCAATCCTCTAAGAGGTCTTGGGGAGACCACCCACAGCTGCAAGGTGCTTTGAGGAGTGTCTTAGAGCAATCAGGCCTGGAAATGTGATGATGATCAAAAGAACCTCTACCTCCTCTAGGAAGTAGCAAGACCCAGAAGAGGTAATCATTTCTGTTCTAAGTGCCTGTGTGGCTGCTGTGGGATGAGTCCATCTTCCAGAAAGTTTGGCCACTGTGTATGTTCACTCTGCAGTCTGCTTTCTCAAACATGACCTCATGGCAATACCTGTGAGGGGCAGAGGAGGACTGCACAGCTCATGGAACCGGCCCAAAGTCACACTAATGAGTGACAGACTAGATGGGCAATCCAGGTCTCCAGAACCTAACTCCAGCTGTCTGTGCCATGGTACCACGCTGTCTCTTTAGGAAGTCTGTGACTGCCCTGCCCTCTGACACTTGTGGATGTTGTGGGATGGGTCCTTAAATCCAGCAGTCCACGATACTCAGCCATAGGTTGAGCCTTATTCCTGAGAGGTCACCTTCACCTTCAAAGTGGCAAGAAAAATTAGCTTATGTGACAGTGAAATCTTCCAGAACTCTGTATAATTGAGTTCACTTAATCCCTTGACCAAAGGGGCTCCTGCTTCCCACCTCCTTATCTGGTTTCAGAGTTAAGGAGCTCATACAAAGGGAGCTTTCTGAAAGGAGGGGCCACCTTGGAAGGTTCACCGACTCTGTCTGCATCAGGCCACTGCTGCATGTCCCCTGAAGGAACTTGGAGCAGGACAGAGTGAATGATGGGCTGCCCAACACCCCAGGCTCTGTCTGGACATCTGCTCAAGTCTCAGCAGTAATCAGAACACTGGAATTTTATGTTTAGTAGTGATGAGCTAGGCATGGGCCTCATCTTTCCTAGGTGGCCTGAGCACCCCAGGTTGTCAGGCTTTAGGGACTGATTTCTGAGAAAAAGTGTCACGGCCATCTCACCTACTCCTCACCTCTGTCCTTTGGCAAATGTCTCCCACAAGCCTTCATATCAAAAGGATCCAGTAGCCTCATGGGGCCGGAACAGATGTAATTCGTGCCCGTGGTGCCATGATCAACAGTACTGCCTTTGAATGCCAGGAGTATCCTGTTTTAGATGATAACAGAAACACACAGATCCTAAACACTCCGTGGCTGTCCCAATCTTTATGGGGGAAAGACACATATTATATATGCGTGAATTATGTTCTTCCCACTGGCAAAAGAATGAGTGTTTTCCACCCTTTGTGCCTGCGACAGTCAGAATGATTAAAGAGAGAACTTCGCAGAGGAAATGTCTTCATGGCCAAGAGTGAGGACAGTGGCAGTGGCAGCCTTGCTCCTTACATGCTGGGTTTGTCTTGGCTCTGTCAGCTTTCCTTGTAGCCCCGAAGATGGGTGGCAGTGTGGGGATAGAAGCGTAGATTTTGGTGGGATGTAGAAATACCTGAGTGTCCTTGAGCAAGTTACCTATTTCCGTTTCCTTTTTGCCTCACCAACAACTTCGAAGCGGTTATTCCTGAGTCTAACATTGTCTTGAGGATGCAACAAAACATGGAAAAGCACTGACTGTTCTGTACCCCATACATATGAGTGGCTCAGCAAATCAGCCATCTCTAGAGTTGCTGAAAGGCATTGATCAGAGTAGGGATGATGGGATGGCCACCTGCCCTTGGAATGCAAGCCACCATGTTTCAGCTTTGCTGGCCCACAAGGCAGAGCCTTTCTCCTAACCCCCAGTGTAAGGCTGACTCCTAAGAGCTCTGAATAAGGGTGTGCTCTGCAGACGTTAATGTCACCATTTGCTGTCTGGAGACCAAGGCAAGATGACGGGTATTCATACAAATCTGTTTTCCCTCCCCTTGTACCTTTCCTCTTCCTTTGCCCCAACATTGTCTCTCCCCAGCCTCAGGCCCTACAGAAATGCCAGGAAGGTAGGGCAGTGGTGCCAGGTGAATTTTCATATGCCACTCTTCATCCAGCCTCCGAGGCAGGCCACTGAGGGAGCCTTAGGCCTGAGAGTGACAACCAGATGAGCAAAGAGCAGAAAGTGAACATCCCACCAGGAGACGGCCAGGAACAGGGAAGTGCGTCTGGCATTCAGCCTTCCTCACACCGCCATCAAGTTTGCTCCCACTGCTACCAGGCAGAGCTCTCAGTGAGAAATCTACTCGGTTGTATCTCAAAGAGGGCCATGCCCTAGCCAGCCACCAGCAGCCAGGGCCTTTTTCTTTATTCCAGGGATACCAGAGAGGCAGAAATGCCTCCTAAAACATCATCTTTCCCTAAAGAGAGTTCAGGACATGCAATCCCCATTCATTCAAGTGCAGGGATTTGGGGCCATCTCTGACCCAGCAGATCATGGGCTTTTCTCAACTTGATGTGGTATTTGGAGGTTGCCTTTTATGCTAGAGTCCCCAGTCTATGGGGAGCGGGGTCTCACTCACATTCTTGAGCACGCAGCCTACACTTAATGTGGCGAGTGGGGAGGTATAAATAGATGCCAGATGGCGGAGCAAGCCATCTGACCGTCTCCCTGACTGGCTCTCGGGCCTATTCCCTGCACAACTATAAACCAGGCCTGCCCTTCGGGCCCAGGGATGAGTGAGGAGTGAGACACTCACAGGTTCAGCTGACATAGCTGTGCAGGTGCAATGGTGCTTCCCCCTGGAGAACTCCGGGATGCACTGCACCTCTCTTGCTCACGTTTCTCAAGGAGTAGGAGGTGGTGGGCAAGGCAGCGCTCGTCAGTGAGAGAAGAGAAAAGGTCAGCGGGACCAGGTTGGGGACTCTGAAAGGAACGTTGAGCCACGGAATCCTTGCAGCCCCGCACAGTGCAAATTCTCTTCTGAGACCAGGGAGTTCTTCAGATGTCTTCGGGCTCCACTCATAGGCTGGAAGGAAAGTGGCCCAACCTGACAGCTGTAGAAATCTGGAGAAGGGGATCACACAAGTTCTCTAAGCTGCAGCAAAGGAAGCTCGCTGGAGGCCTTAGTGCCGGGAAACTTCTGCTATCTCTCCCTGACCTTCGCACAGTGATTTACATCATTCCCTTTTGGTATCCACCAGGGAGATGACGATTGCATCATCTCTTGGGGAGAGAGCCCCAGTCTGCCCTGGCTGGCCTGGACAAATGGGCCATTCTAACCTCAAGCCTTCGGTTCTTTGTGCAGAGCTACGCTGACCACCACTTAGCAGTAACATCTTTTGACTTTAAAATGTCTTCGAAAGACCTCATCTTTCCCAATTTTCAGATTGCAGAATTGGGATTCTATAGGAAGAAATCTCAGAAGGTCCATGTCCACCCAACCCTGTGCCTGCCTGGAGCAGCCAGAAGACTTTCTGGCTGCTGGGAGCAAAGAAGACCTGGCCAGGAATTGGCTCCGGCAGGCTACCATTCCTCAGCGCTCACCCCAGTTGCATAATGATGTGATTACTTTTTTCTTTTTCTTTTTCTTTTTTCTTTTTTTTGCCTTAGGAATCCAACTCCAGCAGCAAATGCCAAGTTTCAGCTCTGCTGATATGATGTTTATATCAACCAAAATATAACTAGAGTGCTTGACATGCTAAGTAACCTTTGCTTAGGAATCTGCCAATCCCTGTTTGTAGTACTAACAAAATACCTGGCTTGTTGCCTCCGAGGTGAACAGACAGGTCCCATTCACAAAAAATAGGATTTGTCTGCAACTCCCACACATGGCCTTTCCAAATGAAATGTCCTTCTCTAGCCTTCCCCCTGCCTTCCTGTCCTTCCACTCCCACCCTCCAGGCCACAGGAGAACAGAGAGGCTGACAGGAGGTGCTCACCCAGGGAGCAGAGCAAGTAACAGCAACTCAGCTGGCCACCCTGTGGGCTCCAGGCATGCCCACCTCTGTCCTGCTATTCCTACAGCTGTAAAATAGTCCAAGAGGGCTACCGCAAGAGATCCCCAAGCAAGAGAGTAAGCGTATATCTGGCCTCCCCTCACAGCCTTGGTACCCAGCAGCCTAGAGATAGGACAAGAGGCCGAGCAATGATGTGGTTTCTTCCACCGGCCAGGGGGAACTGAAATCAGGTGGGAGCTCACAAGCACATGGCTCTTATTAGACCCCTGGATTCTCTCAAGCTCCAGGCAGAAAGGCACAGCGCTTTGGGGCTGTCCAAGCCAACCTTGGTAAATTTAATAAGAAAAGCATGGGCATGGAAGACAGACACACCTGGGCCAACATCCTGGCTTCCATGTGACCTTCAACAAGTTACTGAACTTGTGTGACCCTCCACCGCCTGGTTCGTGAAACAGAGAGTCACAGTGCCTGCTGGGTGGCTTAACGGTGGGGATTTAATGAGCTGATGGATGCTGAGCGTGGTCTGTGCTGGCTGCCGCTGGGAGTGATTATTAAAGGAAAGTTTTCAGGGGTAACAATTTCCATCCTGAAGAGTAGAAGTTTCCCCAGCAGATACCAGGAAAATGCCTAGCTGGCTTCTGAGAGGAAGACTAAACTTCTCTCAAGCTGCCTGGCTTACTCTGCGGCCTCCCTGCCGACCACTCCTGTCTGTCCTTAGCTTCTTGAGAGAGTGCTTTATCTGTAGCTCCAGGACAGAAGCTGTCAGCCATCTACACTTGAAATGTGGCCAGTGTGACTAATTTTATTAAATGTTAATTAACGGGGACTTAGATGGCTGGGACTTAGTGGCTGGTCTGGGTGTTAAGTGCACAAACCTTGGAGCCAGGCCGGTCTGGTTCAAATGCTGGCTGTCCACCAATTAGCTTTGTGACCCTGTACCCTGAAGTGGCTTTATTTTTTCTATGGAAAGTGAAGGAAAGTAACACTGAGGCCTCAAGCATTTTGTGAGTCCTCTGAGAGATGCTCTCAATCCAGTGGTCCCCCCAGACCTGACTTGAGTGTGGTGAACGGTCCGCAACAAGAGGCCGTGACAGAGAGCAACCTGGGGCTGTGAGACCAATAGCTCCTCTCCCCACTCCCTGCTTCCAACAGAACCACATCCTGACCTTGATGTCCGTGGCAGCCCGAATCTACAAGCACCCCAGCATCCAGAACTCCATCAACCTGGTCGTGGTGAAAGTGCTTATAGTGGAAGATGAAAAGTGGGGCCCGGAGGTGTCGGACAATGGCGGGCTCACGCTGCGCAACTTCTGCAGCTGGCAGCGATCCTTCAACAAGCCCAGCGACCGCCACCCAGAGCACTATGACACCGCCATCCTGCTCACAAGACAGGTATGTGGGCTGGCTCTGGAAGCAGGGAGGAGGGGAACCAGAGACGGACCACGGGGTGGGGGGCAGAGGCCAACCCGGCTGCAAGAACCATCTGTCTGCTGGCCTCCGTGGATGCCAGAAGCCTCCTGCTCAGAATGACGAGGAGGAGGTCATGAGGACAAGTGGGAGGCATCTGCAAGGGAAGGAGAAGAATCTCGCGAGGGCAGTTTTCCAAAAGTTTGTGACCAGCTGTCTGCTGAGGTCATCACAAGAGGAAGCAGACTCAAACTGCTCAGGGAGAATCTAGGGCTGGAAGTGGGTCAGGGCTCTGTCTAGGGTGATTGCTAAACTTACAGGCAGGTAACTGGGGGTCCCTCAAGGTCCGCCTGCGGCAGGGGGGCTGCCCACCAACCCAGTGTGATTTTAAGAGAAAGCTTCCTGGAGGCAGAGGATGGGGAGGAAGCTAGTGGGCACCAACCCCATCCACCCTTCAGGCCTCGCCGCAGTCCCACAGGTGAGTATGGTGTTATCCTCATTTTAAAGCTGAGGAAACAGAGGCAAAGAGAGGACACACATGGGCAGCACCCTTAGTCTGGCCCAAGCAGGCTTGCTGCAGGGTCATTCTCAGAACTACAGTGTTATTCTGACTCCCAAATAAGCCTTTGAAGTCCCAGCCAGCCCTCAGTCTCTGCCAGCTCAGAACAAGGAACAGACTGCCTTCCATGAGCTGCCTATGGGAAGGCAAAAGGACATTTTTCTGTTCTTTGCCACTCAGAAATCCCTCTGGACAGCTGTGTGCCTATGTGTGCACTTGCCCATGCACACACATGTGCATATTGTTTAACAATGGTAAATTTCACAAGTCACTCTTCAACTGAGAAAGACAAAGGATGAGAGTGATGTCTGTAACCACAACAGAAAATAACTCAGGGCCACTGGCTGAGATACCCAGACCTCAAGCCCTCCACTTGCTTCTCACCCTTGAAAAAAGCTCTGGAATGCAAGTGGTGCTCAGGCTAGTGAGTGGGCATCCCACAGAATACTTAGCAGAGCAGTGACGCGTGTCCCCTGCTCCTGCCCCTAGTCTGGAGGCTGCTCCTGCTCACACATGCTCACTGGTGAGCTTTATCTGCCCCCCAGGACTTCTGCGGAAACGACGGGCACTGCAACACCCTGGGGATAGCAGACATTGGCACAATCTGTGACCCCAGCATGAGCTGCTCCGTGATCAAAGACGAGGGCCTGCAGGCAGCCTACACCGTGGCCCATGAGCTAGGTAAGCCTGGCTGTGTCGAGGCCTGCTGTATCACACAAGAGGGAGCTGACACTTCCAGACCCAGAGCTGCTCAGATCTTAAGAAAAAGGCCGCTCTCACACTTTACCATTCATTATCTGTTCCTAGTTTTCCTATCTATACGGCAAACAGATACAGTGCTTGACACTGCTAAGTCCATTCAGTACTGTCCTAGGCCACTATCAGAGGTGGCCTGGAAGTGCCCAGACATGAAACAGATGCTGAGGGAGGGCCACGATACTGTACACAAGCTTAGCAGTGAGGCAAGGGGGCCGCCACATTAGTGAATAGTAGAGATGAGTGTGAATTCGGACAAACAAAGGCAGAAAATAAAGGGGTCCCAGTACCCTTCAGTCACCTGAAAAAGCTTCCTGGAAGAAGAAAGCCCAGGCCTGAAACAAGAATCTGTAGGGTGAGGAACTGAGCCTGGTAGCATCACCAAGGCCATCACCACTGGTGGTCCCATAGGGAGTGGGCTGAGGCGGCCAGAGGGTGGGGGAGTAGACCTGTGTCTCTGATCCCCCAGGGCACGTGCTCAGCATGCCCCACGATGACTCCAAGCCCTGCGTGCGGCTCTTTGGGCCCATGGAAAAGCACCACATGATGGCGCCACTCTTTATCCACTTGAACAAGACGCTGCCCTGGTCTCCCTGCAGTGCCATGTACCTCACTGAGCTCCTGGACGACGGCCACGGTAGGCCCCGCTTGGCATCCTCTCTGGTCCCCCAGCCAGCAGGCCCCTTGACAGCTGTTGGCACCTGTGCCAATTCAGGGACTCCCTGCAGCTGTGCTTTCTCATGAGGCTCTGAGGGCAGGGAGAGACTTCAGAAATGTGTCATCCTGGAAAGGCATCCTAAGCATCTCCCCAGGGTGTCCATCCTTGTCCCTCCCCCTGTAGCCCAAGCTCTGGGCTAATTTAGATTCATCATCAGAGCAGGTGGGAGGGGTCTGAGAAGCTGGTCTGGAAGAGGTGAGTGTGCAGAGAGCTTAAAGGAATGGAAGAACCTTGGTTGTAAAGAGGAAGAAGAGGGTATTGTAGGCTGAGTGAGTGATCTTACGATAGCTCAGAAATGGCAAAGAACAACAGTAGCCACGGCAGCAGTAACAAAAAAGCACTAACCAGTCATGTGAGAGCAAGCCCTGAAAGCTTGAGGTGCCTGCTGGGACAGTGACTGTTGGTTACAGCTGCAAAGCGACGCAGTCTAGATGCTTCTCATTGAAGGAGGCAAGGACATAGGCACTGCAAAGCTAATGGGCTGTCCAAGCGTTAGCACTGCCACACGCTACCCGGGTTTTTGCCAGCGTGGTTTCTCGGAGCACAGTTACAACCCTGTTGTACTGAGATGCAGATTAGCAGTGCAGTTCGTTGACCTTTACTGGGCACAGGCCATCGGGGGATGCATCCTGAGATGTGCTGGGTAGCAAAAGAAAGTCAGTCCCCAAGAAGCCTTTGCTACTGATCATCCCAGGAGCGAGGCTCTGTGGACACAGTGGTGTGCGGGGTGGTTCAGACCTAGTCCAGGAAGCCATGATGCCCAGACCTTAACCCCCTCTTCTGAGATTTGAGCAGATCCCAGGAAGGCGCAGAGAGCTGAACAGGAGGCCCCTGCCCTTGTTCTCACTGCTCTGCCTCCTCTCCTCCCAGGGGACTGTCTGCTGGACGCCCCCACTTCGGGCCTGCCCTTCCCCACAGACCTCCCAGGCCGCAGGGCACTCTACGACCTGGACCAACAGTGCAAACAGATCTTTGGACCTGGGTACCGCCACTGCCCCAACACCTCCGCGCAGGACACCTGCGCCCAGCTCTGGTGTCAAAAGGATGGTGACGAGGGCGTCTGCCACACAAGGAATGGCAGCCTGCACTGGGCTGATGGTACTCCCTGTGGACCTGGGCTCCTGTGCTTGGATGGCAGCTGTCTACCAGAGGAGGAAGTGGAGAGGTCCAAGGTGGGGGAATGGGGGAGGGGGGAGGGGGGAGAAGGGGAGTGGGAGATGGGGGCTGTTTTCAATGGGGGACCACACCTGAGAGTCGGGCATTAAGAGGTCATCTTTGAACAAACTGAAGCCCCTCTACCCACGTGGGTGTCCTCTGCCTCAGTGCTGAAGGAGGCCTCGTGCAGGTTGGTGGGAGGAAGATGCCCACCACAGAGAAGGCTTTGCTTTATAAACATAACGAGGTGTGGCAGGAACAGCTCACCAAGGGTTCGGTGAAAAGCATCCCCAGCCTCCCCACATTTGAGCTGAATTTCTAGTTAGAGGTGAAGGGAATGAGAGACGTCGTGGGAATCCCATGCTCCAAGAAGCAGAGGGGAGAAGGAATCCAGGCCAGTTCTGACCAGGCGGAGGAACTTGGCCCTGTACAGAGGAAATTTGCAGGAAAACCAAGGCAGTGCCAGAGAAAACGTTTAAGTGATTCACTCCTTTGCCCTGCTCTTAATGTGTCCAAACTGTGAGGCTGATCACGTTTCTCTTTCCTCGAGTCACGTAGCCATCACCGGGAAACAGCATCTGCTAGGTTTCACAGCCTGGTCCCCTGCCCAGGACCGAATAGTGGGGTGGCCCAAGCACATTCCTAGGTGCTTCTTGGGACACACACCCTCCTGGGCTGGCTGAACCACACACTCATCCTGAGCCTAGGACAGGTTCCCGGGTGAGCACTGGGTCCCAGAGAGGCTCCTTGTCTGCCCTGCTCCTGAGGAGAGAGGAAAGGAGCCCCTCAACCCGCTCCAGCAAAAACCAAGCTAGATGCCGTCAGAGTCTGACATGTGCTGTGTGTGGAATTATGTTTATCATCTATTTCTGAGGAGAAAACACAAAGCCTGTATTGAGAGAGAGGAAATCATTTCTTTGTAAATGAAAGCACACTTCTTTATGATCATATATTCAGAACAAAAGTATGGCTAGTGAGTTTTTTAAGGATTGCTTTTCTTTTTATAGCCTTACTATTTTTCACTTTTTGTGTAATCAATACTTTTATAATTCTTGAAAATGAGTGAGTTATTTTTAACCCATATTAGTCATGCAGAACAGTGACATTCCTTAGAGGGAGTTAGCACATGCATCTAACATACCTTGAGTATGTTTAATCCTTTATACCACTCCCTCCCAATTTTTATTTCAAACCCTCTTAGATCCACCATAGGCTTTATTCTCACAAGCTAGTTATAAACTTGGAAATTATTCTGTTTGTTTCCTGGGCATTATCCTAGTATTGGAACCAGTGGCTACTAGACCACTGACACATCTCTCAGTAACTGTGTCTTTAGAAGAGGGTCTCCAACCTCAGTGCTGGTGACATTTGAGCCTGGATAAGGCTTTAGTATGGGACGCATGCGCTGCTGAATATTTAGTAGCACTCATGGTCTCACCCCACACTTCACCACCCCCACCGGAACAACCTTGGCACCTTCAGATGTTGCCCTTCGGGACTCAGTGCACCCCAGTGAAGAGCTACCACATTTGAGCTGACATTATCCCCAGGAAAGATCTCGTGCCTACTGACCGCCCAAGGGCAAGGTACTGCTTGAGACACCAGAAGGGAGAGAACTCATGCGGTGTAAAGCCGCAGGCCACGCAGGCACTAGACAATGGCTGCAGCAGCTCCCAGCACACCATGCAGCTGGATGAGACTACCCAGATGAGAAAGTCAGGGCCCGGGGCTGCACACACAACTGAAGCAGCTTCTCATGCTCCTGACTCCATGGTGTTGTGTTGTAGGCCGTGGTGGACGGAGGCTGGACCCAGTGGGGACCCTGGGGAGAATGTTCCCGGACCTGTGGAGGTGGAATACAGTTTTCATATCGTGAATGCAAAAATCCCCAGCCTCAGAATGGAGGAAAGTACTGCCTGGGTCAGAGAGCCAAGTACCAATCGTGCAACACGGAGGAGTGCCCCCCTGACGGTAATCGCTACTTAGGCCACACCTGCCATAGCAGCTGCTGTTTTTGTTAAAACAGATCCCCAGAGAAGGAGAAGGGTGGGTCTCCCAAGATGCAGAGTTGAGTTTGTGATTCAGATGCTAACGGGTTTAGCAAGGTATCAAGCTTTGGTGAACTCATAGGGATACACAGCAGCTCCATTGTGTTAGGAAAGGCTGCTGAGGTGAGGGGCGACACTGCCCGGGTCTTCTGAGACATGTGCATAGTTACTCCCAACCAAACCCATGGAGGAGGCCTTTGCAGAGGGACTAGTGTCTCGGATAATAATCTGAACCCTCGTCTGGGTGCAGAATGGGACTGTTTTCCAAAACAAGTGGCAGAGCCAAACCTCCAAGGTCTCTCTAGCCAACACGCAGCCCAGATTGGAGGGAGGGTTTCTGAATCTGATTCCTATGCACATTCCTTCTGAGAAGCATTGCCCGTCTTCCCTTGAGGCTATGGCAACTACGTTCCAGAACCTTCCCGGGAAGCAACACTACCTCAGTCTTCCCTGGCATATTCCTATCCAAGAGTATGTGCTAGAAAGCACACATACTAGCTTAGAGGTGGTAAAGAACAGCAGCAAACTTGTAAAAGGGGTTCATTGGAACTTTTTTCCCCACTGTCCCATCCAGCTCCCCTTTGGGCAGCTCCAGGAAGTATTGGCAGGCATGAAAAGACAAGCGAAGCTGTTGGAGAGATTCGTGCAAGTGCCAAGACACCCTGGCATTAGGTTGATGTCTAATAGGGGAATCTGTGGGCTCTGCAGTTTTGCAAGACAGGAAGGATCAGCAATGGCATGAGGCAGTAGAAACTGCTCTGGGATTAGGAGGGTTTGCCTGGCATGCAGGCTAAGATGTTTCAGGGAAAGAAAAGAGGAGATGGTTATAAGGTGCAAGCTAGGCATGGATGACAGGCAACATCACAACATTAAATGCAACAGCAGCCGTTTCACTCCAGTATTCTGAGTATCTCTGGAGTTTCTGGACTACAGTTGATGTTACAAGTGATTTTTTTAAATGCACAAAGCATGATCTCTGTCCCTATGAACTTTGCAGTCTGATTCAAGACCAAAACCCCTTCACACAGCAATGGAAGCTTAATCTATGAGACTCAGATGCTAGGTTTGTAAAGAGCTCAGAGAAAGGGGAAGTTTGGGTGAAGCAGAAGTTCCGTGAAGTCTGGACCAAGGAAGGGAAGGAGGACTGAGACAGTGGTGAGGTGTATGGGGACATGCCAAGATGAGAAAAATGTGTGAGAAATACAGTCTTTTGCTGAGGTGGAGCCACGTGGAATGTACCAGTGCATCACGGCCAGGCCACAAAGGCCCTCAAAGGCTAAAACAGTATGTGGAGTTTGTCTGTGGTGGCTGTCCCATCAAGTCATCAGCAAGCTTCTCCAAACACAGCCAAGACCCTGCAGCTCTATTGACTCAGAACCTCAGGCATGGAGTGCTGCATCCGTATATGACATCTCCCCAGGCCACTCACACACAGCTGGCTTGGGAGACCGATAGGAAGAAGAGGTTGAAGTCCAGGACTGTGCAGTGAAACACCGAATTTCCAGTAGCGTGGCCTGGAAGCGGGGTACAGCAGGAGGGCAGGGGAGGGGATAGATGGTGCAGGAGGCTGTGTCCCCTGGGAAGCCACAGAGCCTGGCCTTAGGATGGCAAGGGTGGCATGCAGTCATTTAATCCACAGACTGTCTTGAGTATAGTGGGGGACTGCATGATACACTAAAAACGGTGGGCAGAGAGGTCCAATATTCAGAAAACACCTGGATGCCAGACTTAGACTGGACAATGGTGGTGTCACCAAGTGAAGCCAGTTAGTGAAGGACCAGATGGACAGCTGTGTACAGTTACCCCACACACAGCCAAAATTACAGGAAGTGGAGTAGACAGGCAAGTTTAGCACTAGAAAGTGCAGGCTAAGATGTCTTTAGCCACATATCCCTTGTCACCAAGGGAATCGACACGGACAGTGATCAGCAGAGTCACAAAGATACAGCTCCCAGCGTCACCTATGCCTGCCACACTTCCTCAATGGTCCTCTTCCCACCTAAGTGTGCTTATTCCTCTGTGAAGCAGAGTGAGTGTCTTTCCAAATGGAAAGGATATTTATCCTGGAAATCCCCCACACAGGGCTAGCGGGTTCCCTTCCTTGCCCCTCTGAGTAAAAGTTGCATCATGCACAGCTCAGGACATATCCAGGAACACTGGGTCTAGATGACCCTGGGCTGCGTCCTCAGGTGCAATCCAAAGCCTAAAGGAAAAGGCGTCCTGAATCCGAGCCCTGCCCCCAGCCTCAGCAAGTGTGTTTCTTACTTTCTAGGGAAAAGTTTCAGGGAGCAACAGTGTGAGAAATATGATGCCTACAATTACACTGACCTCGATGGGAATTTGCTGCAGTGGGTCCCCAAATACTCAGGAGTGTCCCCCAGAGACCGCTGCAAGCTGTTCTGCCGAGCCCGGGGCAGGAGGGAGTTCAAAGTGTTTGAAGCCAAGGTGAGGACCCTTCTGGGCCTCGGGTTGGACACGGGGAGGAAGGCAGGCTGTGCCCCCCCCCCACCTGCAGCTGCCTCTATGCTCCACAACCTCTCTTATCTCCCTGTCCCAGGTGATCGATGGGACCCTGTGTGGGCCCGAAACTCTGGCCATCTGTGTCCGGGGCCAGTGCATCAAGGCTGGCTGTGACCACGTGGTGGACTCGCCCAAGAAACTGGACAGGTGTGGGGTGTGTGGGGGCACAGGCAACTCATGCAGGAAGATCTCCGGCTTCTTCACGCCTACCAGGTGAGGATGCCCAGTCCCAAGCTCCTCTGCCAAAGGGCACGGTGGGCTTTGGACTCTGATGGGCCCACCTGTGATTTGCTGGACAAGTGATTTAAATGCACTAAGCTTCTACTTCTGTAAGGAATGTCCAGAGTCCTGTCTGTCTCGGTCATAGCAAGGGTTTCAGGAGATGGGGCGCGTGGAGCCCTCAGCAAGGGCTTCAGTCAGGGCAACCGCTGTTTTATTAGAGAGCAGGCTGTGTGCGTGGGGATGTGTCAGCTCTGAGTCAATGGGTGGGAGAGCCACGCCAAGCCTCCTGGGCCTCTGCCAGCACACAGCTTCTCCAGGCCTGTTATGGGAAGGGCAGTTCTCCCCAGGCCCCGGAGCCCCAGTCTGGCTGCAGGTGGGTGCTGGGAGAAGGGGTGAAAGGAAGTGGCCTCGGTGGCTCGGGGAACTGAGGACACCTCTCTCACATCCTACTGCCTGCGTTCGGGCAGAGCACCTTATGTTTTCCAAAGTGCTTTCCCCTCTGTGCTCTCATTCAATTTCTAAAATGAGTGTCAGAGATGGACGGGGGCAGCCCTGTTATGCCTCATGTTACAGCGGGAAAAGCTAAGGCACAGCGAGATTGTAACTCTGCTGAGAGCACACCGGTAGTTGACTGCCAGAAAGACAGCCTAGGCCCATCCCTGGATGATTGTGTCTTGTTTGGTTTTGTTTCTCCATCCACAAACTTCCTGGAGAATGGGCAAGCTTAGCTGTTCTGTAGAGGCCATAGTGTGCCGATCTGCACCTGGTACGTGTATGTTTTTTCTGGCAGCTCAATGAGCACCCTGGCCTCCTCCAACACTACTTACATCACAGTATATATTCTTCAGAAACACACGTACCTATGTATATATATATATATATATATATATATATATATATGCAATTTTATATGTTATTTATTTTATATTATACATAAATGTTGTATATGTATATGTGTGTATCTCTTATCTGACCAATCTCAAGGAACAGAACCAGCCTATAGCAGGTTTAAAAGTCTTTCAGTTTAAGTTCAAGCATATAGAGAAAAACAAAAAAGCATGAGTTATTCAGATCCTCAGATATATGACGACTTTCTCTTAGACCCTAGGCATTTGAGCCTTGAATACATAGCCCTAGACCAAGCTGTGACCTCAGTTGGGCAAATGAGGCAAACAGCAGAGCCCCGGACTGACTGTCCTCATGAACACTGCTCCCCTGCTCCCCAGCCCACAGAACAGAGCAAAGAATTGAGCTCTGCCCGCCCTCCATGAAGCCCTAGGCCTACCGAGGACCTGAGTCAGTTCCCCCAAGCAGCTCCCTGCTGCTGGGAACCTGGCTGCCCACTGAGCCTCGGCACCCTCAGAAGCTGTTCCACAGAAGCAGGCTTTGCCCCTAAACTCACCAGACACTGATAGCGATCGGCTTGGTGGAACCAGACTTGTCCTGATTGGGTTCTGGCCGGGGGAAGTCATGGGCTTTTTCACATAGGTTTGAGCCCCAAGAGTGGAGAGAGGCAAGCATAGTTATGCAAATGCGAGGAAGTCAGTGGATCTGGATCACGTCAGAACCATGAGATGCTAGGTCTGGCTGTGCCGATGTAACTTTTCAAACCTTCTGGGTTTTCCTCTGTTACTGTTACCAGGATCCACTGATCTCCACTCCTCAACCCACACATTTGCAGGAGAGTTGCCAGATTAGGCAAAAACCCTTGGAAATCCCAACCTCGAAGGCAGTCCTGTGTGCCTCAGCAGTGATTTATTCAAACTGCAGGGCTGTCACTTCTCAGTTTGTTAGTTTTCTTCATCTGCCTACCACGTGCATGCTTCAGTCCCTGATGAGCCCTCAGGACCCAGGCTAAGTAGCCATGTACCCTACCATCCTTTCTTTCTATCCCTGTCACAGATACGGCTACAATGACGTTATTACCATCCCAGCTGGTGCCTCGAACATTGATGTAAAACAGCGAAGCCACTCAGGGGTTCAGAACGACGGCAACTACCTGGCTCTGAAGACAGCTGATGGGCGGTACCTGCTCAATGGCAACCTGGCCATCTCTGCCACAGAGCAGGACATCCTGGTGAACGGGGCTGTCCTAAAGTACAGTGGCTCCATGGCCTCCCTGGAGCGGCTCCAGAGCTTCCGGCCCCTGTCTGAGCCTCTGACTGTGCAGCTCTTGACTGTCCCCAGTGAGCTCCCTTCCCCAAGAGTCAAATACACCTTCTTTGTTCCCAATGATGTGGACTTCGGCATACAGAACAGCAAAGAGAGAACAACCCCCAACGCCATCCAGCCACTGCTCCTCACGCAGTGAGCACAGGGACTGGTCTGACGCTCCAGCACCAGCTAAGTGGCTGGCAGCAGCAACAGTGGACAACAGAGACCGCCCAGGCCAGGCCTCTGTCACCCGTGACAGGGCTCTGCAACCTGAGGGTGCAAGCCCTGCAGAAGCCAGCAGTGTCCCCAGTGAGAGGAGAGGGTCTTGTGCTCATGGACCTGAGGTATTGGGGTGTAGGCAGGGTCCCCTTTGTGGTGACCTATCTATCAAGGTAGCGTGACCTGTGCAGGCCTCCTACTGCCACAGTCCCTTGGGTGCTGCCTAATTCATAAGGGGAGGAGAAGGGGTGGGACAGCAGATTGAACATGGACTGCCCAGTGAACTGAAGGCTGCTCAAGTTCAAGTAGAAGGTGTAGGTTAAAAGGTAAAAACGTACTCACTGACCCAAATGGGAGGCTCAGAGCCAACAGAGACTCACGAGGCTAAATGGGGGGAAAAAAACTCTTTTCTATCTGATTTCCCTGATAAATAATCTACCTCAGAGGGAAAAAAATGGTTCAAGGGAGGTGTGGGGCAAGGAGTCAATGGTGACTGTCAAAGCAAGCCCCCCAGCTGTGCCCCAGAGTTCCCAAGATATGGGCACTACAGTCCCCAGTGTGAAAATCTGTCACTCAGAGGGCTGCAGTGTCCGTCACAAGGCTGTGGGAGCCACATGTTCTCAGGCTGCCACCTGCTGGGGTGGACCCATTCAGTATTTATGCGAACGTGTCTCTGAACTAAAGTGTGATCATGTGCCTGTGAAGCGGTCTGGTCTGGTTCATTGTTTCTCAGGAAAGGACAGGGGTCTTAGACCCCAAAGACGAAGGCTAAACCGGGGTTGGGTCACCTGGGACGTGCACAAGGCAGCTGACCTCCTGCATGGTTCTCTTCAGACTTTCAGTAAGCAAGTGAGTACTCTGGGTTCCAACAGACCTACTGGGCACAGCTCACAGGGACAGCTGTTCATGGCATGATCCAGTGGCCCTCAAACTGCAGTGGACAGACACCAGGGCCTTCCAGAGGCTGAGGCAGATCGCCAGGCCTCCCCTCCAGGAGTTTTGCTCCAGGAAGTCAGCGGATAGCCTGAAAGTCTGTTTCTAACAAGCTCCCAGATGATGTGAGGCTACTGGTTCAGGACCACGCTTTCCCCCATGCTAGAGAAAATTTCAAATCAGAGTCACAATGGTTATGTGGTGCCTCTCAATCTTGAGGAGAAGAATTCCACCCTGTAAGCTGCCCCATCTTGTTACAGGCTGGCTTGTCCTATTTTATTTAAGCCAGACACAAGATCCTTTTAGGACCTCAGGACTTCTGCTGCTGTATCTAGGTACCATCCTAATGACTTCCAAGCCTGCCGCCCACCTGCCCCACGCCAGGTTTCATCCACATCTCACAGTTCTTTGGGCACAAGCAACTTGCAGCTGTCTGCCCCATAAGCCCTTTAACGCAGACTGCACCCCCACCGGGTGCTGGGATCTCGAAGCCCCCCTTGCCACTTAGCTCCTTATATCTGGTGGCCCAGGGGCATAGGCCCTATAGGGACATGGTGGTAGGTGTGAATGGGTGAGGAAAAATAGCATCAAGAATGACACTGGGAAAAGAAGGTAAAAGCCTAACTTTGCATCTTCCTTTTACCCGCCACTGCCCCATCTTCCTTTTCTTTCACAACCTGGGAGGCAGGCAGAAGATGTGGGGCGGAGCCCCAGTGCAAATGTGGGCTCAGACCCCTGCAGTGGGAAGCAAGAACAGAAGGAGTCCTGCCCCCCTGGCCCCTTAGCTGGTCCCCACCCGGTGGGGGCTGACATGGAATTGACCTCTTTTCCTTCTGCCTTTTTAGTGAGTGGGAGGCCTGGCTTACCTAGCATAAACAAGCATGCGTCCACACACAGGCTCACTGTGCATGACTAGTAAGCACAGGTATTTCCTTGCTCTGCCTCCGTTTTGTGAAGGCTGATGGGTGTTTCTGTGCATCTTCATCTTGTTCCACTCCCTATCCCCCCAGTAATTAAGGGCAAACGCGCCCCCTGTTAACTGCCCGTGTCAGGCCAGCTGTGCCGTCCCTGCTGCCTGCCCCATTACCAGGCACAGCTTTTGCCCTGGAGTTCAGCTGGCAGCAGACTTGCTGATGTGCAAAGCAGAATGGAATCCAGCTTGGCTCTCCCATGCTGTGTGGGCTCAGCGAGGCTCACAAAATACATACTTGTTTGTGTCTGGAAATTCAACAGCTGCAGCTCGGGGACTGCACCAGAAGACCACACCACTGATGGCCCCAGCCAACTACAACTGCCCTTTTAGACCCAGAGGAGGACACACTGTATTTCCTCTACTGAGTTTCTATTTTCCAGCTATTGCGCCTGATAGAAACTGTTACAGGGCATTGTAATGGAAGACCAGGAAGCCTGGACTCAGCAGATAACCTCATCCTTCAACCAGGTTCACCAGGCTGCTGCCAGAAATATTTCAAAGGTGGTTCATTGGCATCAAGATTCATTTCCAGCTTTTCACCCGTAAGACAAGTGAATCTTTGAGGCTTGTTCTCTGCCCTTTCCATTCCCCGATAGCCGACCAAAGGATTTTACAAATTGGCAGAAGGAAATCACCAAGAGAAGAGAAGCACATCCCTGCCCAGCAGCCCCCACCCCTAGCTCTACCATAGGTTAGCCCATTGGCAGCCTTGGAGCCCTGAGTACACACTGTCCAGGGTGCTAGGACCAAAAGCAGAGGAAGTGAGAGGCCAGTTCCTGTCCTAGAGAAATGTAAACAGGGCTCACTCTCCGCTGGTGACTATAACTGGAGAGCGATATGTCTTTCTGAAGAAAGAACTCCTTTTGCACAGCACATTTTCCCATCAGTGGTCCCCTGGCTGAGTTTGCAACTTTGAGAAAGCCGCATAGAACTTGAAAGAGAAAGAAGCACCCATCCAAGCCGACATTTTTGCTGGATAGATGTGCATGATCATCTATCTATCGTGTGTGCCACAAATACTGTGGTCATTATTTTCTTTATATAGGAAAATATTCTGAGGCGCTCATTGATAGATTGCAGGTCTAACGTGAGCGATACCTGGGTTCAGACCCTGGCACCACAGAAAGAAGGACGAAGATGGCTGGGTGTGGTGGCTCATGCTGTAATCCCAGGACTCAGGAGGCTGAGGCAGGAGGATTGCCATGAGTTTGAGGCCAGCCTGGGCTACATAGTGAATTCAAGATCAACCTGAACTATGTAGTGAGACCCTGTCTCCAAAGAAAAAAGAAAAAAGGCAAATGAAGAGGGAAGGAGGGAAGGAAGAAGGAATGATACTAAGTAATAGTATTCTAAAAGCAATATTCCAAATGATGTGAGAACACACCGAGGAGAATTAAAGCCAATTGTCAGGTGAGTAAACGTCAGATTGGGACTCAATGCTCTCTTCATACAATGCTGGCGCCTTCCGAGCACATACCTGATTTTCAATCAATATTTTAGAATGGCCTGGCCAGGTTTATCAGAATAGATGTGTCTCATTGGTTTGTGCCTCTTGAGATGGGGAGATTCTCTGATACACAGGAAGTAGTTGGCCTCACCTCTCCCACAAACAAGAGGGCTCCTTACAGCTCCTGCTGCCCGACAGGGAAGACAGATGTCTCTCGATGGACCAGTACATTCCCAATTGCAGAGTAAGAGAAGGGAGGAAGAAAACCACCTGTCTCTTTTAGAACATACTTTCCCGTAGGCCTTGGGCTCAGTACGGGGAGACAGCGGAGTTCAGGTTCCCCTTGAGCTGCCCAGTGTATCCCTGGCAGATGCGCAACTGCCCCAGGAAAGGAAAACCAAAGAAGCCTCCCACAGACCTCAGGGTTCCTCATTCCAAACATCTTGTAAGTCCCAGGGGCACTGAAAGAGTTTGTGCTCGGCCAAACATAACTTCCTGTTTCTAAGAACGGGGGAAAAAAGTAGTGGAAAGGATTTTTGGACACTGGAGATTTTGAGTTTCTGTAAACGCAAGTGAATCAGACACATGTGGAATAAATTTCTCCGGAAGTAAGAAAAGATGCTGTGAGTTGTTCTTGTTGGACCCAAAATTGGAGAAAGGAGATCTGAGAACAGAGGTGCATCAGATGCTGAAAGAAGAGAAAAAAGCCATGTGACTGCAGGATCAAAGAGGGTCCCTCCCTCAACCACTTCCTGACTCACTGGTTACTAAGAGGTTCCCCTCCTCTGAGGTCACAAATTCAAATATCCTGCTCCCTGATGCCAACTCCCCATCCTTTCAGATCTTCTGCAAGCTTCCACTAATCATCCTTCCCCATCAGCCCCCCAGATCCCCCGACCACCCCACAGTTGACCTTTCCCTGTCTCCCTTTCCTGCTCCTCCATTCCCATTAGACTCTGTATTCCAGCCCCTCAACCTGCATATTTTCAAAGTCCTTGCCCCATGGGCTTCCTTCCCAATTCTACCCCACCCACATCACCTGGCCATTCCTTATCCTAAAGTTGCCAGCTTCCCTTGCCTATATGTGCATTGTTCCAACCTGCCAGATGCCCTGCACCTTGGAGACCTGGTGTAGTAATCACGCCACGAAGCCCATCTGTGCCACAATGAAGCCACAGTGCCCAGTGAAAATCCCACCCAGGGACCCAGCTGGCAGCTCTGTCTCTAAGTCCTCAGAGAAAAGACTTTCCACTCTCTTCTGCATGGCTCCCCCTGCCCCACACTCCTCCAAGGCGCACATCCTCCCCCCGGCAGCACAGCATTCCTCTCCCTTCCAATGTGTTCCTCTTCTCTTTTCTCCTCGCTCTTTGGCACACGCCTGTTTGCTCCTCGAGTCTGACTCAAGATCACTGTCCTTCTTGTCAAGCCCAGCTCAGGCCCAGCACCCCGCAGAGTGTGCTTGTCACTCTCCAGACACCCAGCACCCTGGATGCCTCCCTGTCCTCGCGCCTGGACTGCACCCCGTGGGTCGCAGGCTGTATACCGCATTCATCTGCGTTGCTGAACCCCTGGATTAGAGGCTATCACTAGGCCAACAGGGAAACCAAATATTCACATGTCTTCCATCTTTAAAAAAGCTGCGTACACTTCCCCCACACACTCCCACTGCCTCCCTGCCCCTCACACAACACATTCACACTTGAGGCAAACACGCCCTTCCTCACAAGCCCTGATGAGCCAGCATCCCCACCGCTCCCTGGGGCTCTCTGCCGACACCATCCGTGGCCTTGCGCTCCATCCAGCAGACATTCCTCCACTCGGTGGCCTGAGTTCTGGCCAGGTCTGTACACTGTCTCCCTCTGATTATCCCTCAGCTGTGGAGTCCCTTGGGCTTTTAGTCACTCTTCCTGGCTGATCTCATCTGCTCCCATGGCTTTTGTTCTTTTCACACACTGATCACTCCCAAATTGAAATACTGAGGCTCTGTGTCAGGGCCCTCAGGAACACTCCACTACTGGCCAGGACACCTGGACATTCCCTCGGGCCCCTAGGATCCAGCCCATAATTGTACTCTATGAATGGACTCTGCCAGAAGGATAAGCCTGAGGCATTCATAGGAAAGTGGATGCACCTTCAGACCATGATGTTAAGTGAGATACATCAGACATACACTTAAACAGTACATCTTACATTGGAGAATCCAAAGTGTAAATCAAGAACAAAATAAAAGATACCTAATAGGAAATAGGGAGAGAAACCTTTTGCAAAAAAGAAGAGAAGTCTAGAGAGAGGGAGAAGTGGGGAAGGGGGAGGGTAAAAGGATGAAAAAGGAATTAAGATGCATTATGCGT